CTGCTGCAGGTCTCCTGGGAGGAGTTCTCGCTGGCCATGTAGCAGGTGGTCAGCAGGCGCCCACAGAGCTCCCGGGGGTCCTGGGGGATGTAGCTGTTCTGGCTCAAGAGGGCCTGGACATCGGCCAGCACTTCCTGATCTGAAATCCACCAAGTCAGAAAGAGTAGAAGTCGCCGTGAAGGTCCAGCCAATCCTGGGCTATCCCCGGGTCCGTGGGCAGCCAATCCCAGGCTGTCCCCAGGGAACCTCGATGGAATCCCAAGACATCCCCGGGCACCTGCACAGTCCCCAAACGTGCTCCCTCCACAGGGCCTCAGTGTCACGGACGGCAGCGGGCTTAGTCACGATGACTCTGCAGTCAGAGCCACAGCAGCAACCAGCCCCAGGAAAAGACCCGAGTGTCCTGCTGTCCCCGGGCTCTGACTTCTGCACACGGCCACAAAGCCTCCTTCACCCACCATGCCACGACCGCCCGCCCCGGAGCTCCCGGGTCAAGGACACCACCTACTTCCGTCCCTCACGGCCTCGCAGACCTGGTAGCACATGGAGTAGACGAGGCAGGCAGTGGCCGCACTGTCCACGCCACCGCTCAGGGGCAGGAGAAACCCGGCCTGAAACGGGCCAGCAGGGCACAGGGTAAGCCAAGCTCCCGAAACAGCAGCGCGCCCGAAGCGCAGCCCAGCCCTGCCCACCGACAGGCCCAACAGGCCGCAGAGGGCTCTGCCCAGTAGGAAAATGCCCACCACGTGCGGAAGGAGGGAAGGCGTTTGCGGCCTGAGCTGACGCTCCACGGGGCATCGCAGACCAGCATGGCCACCAACTAGCACAACATGGGCCTTGGAGCTCCGAACGCCCAGACAGTCCCGCCAGGCTCCCGTGGCCAAGCCAGCCGGGCCCACCTGGCGTCTGGCCAGTGCAGACGGCTGCCCCAGGCAGCACCTTTAGCTGCAGGCACAGCAAAGAATCCCGAGCCTGTCCCAGACTGACGCAGGGCACCTGACAGAACAAGCAGTGGACACAGGGCACCTACCTGGTGGCTTCGCCTCAAGAAATCCCAGAGCCAGCAGGCGGGTCCCAGGCTGCAGGGCAGTAAGAGCGCTGAGTCTGGGGCACCCGAGCAGCCCACCTGCGCGGGTTCCCCGGGGGAGAACTGCCCAGCAGGCCTGGCTCTCGCCAGGCCCCGGCCGCTGTTGCCAATACCTGGTGGGAGTTAGGGCTTCTCAGGTCTGAAACAAGCCTGGGAGGCACGTGTCACTAGTGTCCCCTTTTGAAATGGGGACACCGCGACTCAGAGGACGGCACCTTTGTGCCCAAGAACACCACTGGCCCAGGAGAGGAGCTCAGGCTGTCCGGCCAGCATCCAGACCCTCGGCCCCAATGAGGCACAGAGTCCCGGAGCCCAGCGTCCACCCCAGGCTCTGAAGACCCACTGGGCGCAAGCGGTGCCACCCCGCCCCAGTGCAAATGGCGGCAGCTGCTGGGCGACGCGGCCACACGAGTGAGGGGACCCTGCCGGGGCTGCCCACCTTATCTCCTCCTCGGGCCTGTGGTATCTCCACTCCAGGGGCTCAGACACGGGCTGCAGCAGGTCCTCGTGGCCCGAGAGGGCAAAGTCCACCTTCACTCTGGGATAGGGGCTCACCCTGCTGGCCTGTCGATGGACGTTCAGGACAAAGTGAGGCCCCCCATCAGGAAGCCAGCGAATAAAGACCAAGCCCTCGGGGAGACTGGGAGGGCTGGAACCCCAGCAGCAGGCGGTGGCCAGCGCTGGCCAGGGCCCGAGACATGGCAGCCGCTCCCTGCTGGTGGGAAGGGAAATGGTGCAGGGCTCAGGAACAGCCCGGCAGCCCTGGGGCTACACAAGAGTCACCACACGAGCCCCCGGGGTCACTCCTGAGTATGTGACCCAAGGGGACAGATGTGAGTGTCCCAACACCTGCATGTGGACGTCAGGCAACACTGTTCCTAACGGACACAGGCTAGTGCCCCGAATGACCTCAGTGCTGGAGGGTAAGCACGGGGGTCCCTGCCAGGGTGGAGCAATACGCAGCCATGAAGAGGAGCGTGACTCAAACACGTGCCCTGCCGCAGGCCAGTGGAGCTCTGCTGGTGACGGCAGCAGGTGTGAGGCTACGCCTGGTGTGACCCCATCCTGTGGTGTGGGCGCGGTAGCAGGTCCTTGGAGACAGAGGCTGGGGACGGGGCAGGGTGAACCCTCAGGGGACAGCTGCTGCCCGGGGTGCTGGAGATGCTCCAGCATCGACCCCACGTGACGTGACTCCAGGAAGACAAGGAAACCCCACCGGGCTGGGCTGGGCGGGGGACAGGTGTGGGCACTGCGCCTCGTGAAGCGCTTTCTAAACAGTGGCTGTGCCCACGTTGACCTGCACGCTCTGGGCTGCCCGGAGAGTCGCCCAGTCACAGTGACCACTGGTTGGTGGCCTGTGGGTGATGACATCTTAGAATGTGGGGTTGGGTCCTTGGCCAGAGGACTGGGGGGGCAGGGCGAGGGACCGTGCTCGCCTCCAGGAGTCCTGGACACGCTGGCTCACCCTGGACCTCACCTGCCTGTGCTGCCTGCCGTCCTGCCTGCCCTGGCTGCGGCCCCCGTGGGGGGCCTTCTGGCTTCCCAGGCTGCTCCCAGGTCTGTCCCCGCGTGTGTCACACCACCCAGGGGCCAACCCTCAGCCTCTGCTGCCCTGACCTCACCGTGCTGCTGGCGCCCAGGGCTCAGGCCGGCCTCCAGGTCCTTCGGCCCCTCCGCAGCCCCGAGCTCCCGCTGCATGTCCACACGCTGCACTGCCCCGCACAGCCGCAGTGAGCCCGGCCACCTCCCGGCCCCTTCCAGGACTGGGCAGGCACCCTGCAGGGGCTCGCGGGCGCTCACCGCCAGGTTTCGGGAGGAGATCTCTGCCCTGTAGCTCCTGACGTCCTCCAGGTCCAGGGTGGCCGTCAGCACCTCCTGGGGAGATTCCAGAGAACCACGTTCCTTCCGTGTCTTTCCCCTGCACGTAACGTGCCTCGGTCACTGTGCTGTGACCTGGGACCTGGGACTCCTGGGGCCCAGGGACAGGGTGGAAAGCATCCTTGCCGACCTAGACCCTTCCTGTTTCCACCAGAGCCTCTGCTTTCAGGCCCTGGCTGGTGATCCACCAGGCCCAGCATGAGACGCAACTCTACCAGTAAGCACTGCGGGGACTTCCAGGAAAGCGCCTTTCTTACGCAAAAGACACTCTGAACACGGCCAGGTGGAGATGAGATGGCTGGAGCTGCTGCTGCCATCCTATGCCCATGAGCAGAGGCAGCCTGAGAAGGAAACCTACACGGGAAGGTGCAGTGGGGCCTGGCAGAGGTGGAGCCAGAGCCCTGGCCACCCATGCCTGGGCCGTGACCTGGCGAGCCTGTGTCCAGGAGGTCACCTGCTCTGGTTCATTGTGGGGTCTGCTACTTATGACATGGAGCAGAAAAGAGGTTTTAACTCACAGAGATCATTCCTTCCTTTATGAACAGACATCACAGTCACATGACATTCCTAGAATCTGTCACTTCAAACACAAGTACGGGACAGCAAGAACAGCCTCTGGTCCCCATTGGGTGACGTGGGACACTGTGGTCACCTGGCTGGCCCCTGGCTCCCTCTACCTTGAACAGTGGTCCCTACTCAAGCTGGAAGACACTCAAGAGGAAGCAAACCAGGGGTCCCCCAGCCCCGGGGCTCTCTGCTATCCCCCGAGAGGACGGGCTGGGGCTGGCCCGAGGCCCAGGGTTCCATCCCCAGCACCACAGAGAAGGCCCGAAGCACAGGGAGGCTCAAGCCTCAGAGAACCAGGGCCGCATGGAGCCTTTTCCATGAAAGGTGACCCGCCCCACCAGAGCACCCAGGGAGCCGGACACCTGAGACCAGAACTGGGGGTGAGGGCCTGGCAGGACGGACAGGCCAGCTCCCGCAGAGAGGGCACCGGGTGGCTCTGAGAGGCTGGCTCGTGGCCCGGAGACACGGAGGGCGGCCTGGAGGCCCAGCCTCTGCGTTCGGCCTGAGGACGGCTCTGCCACCCCCCATGCCGCAGGCCGGTCACTCTCTCCTGCCTGTCCCTGAAGCTGTGGGCAAGGTCAGAGGTGGGAACTGTAGTAGCCGGGGGATTCCATGCGCTGGGAATCACCTCCTTGCTCAAGGCAGATGCCAAGGATTCGCCGGGGGCCGGGAACTGCAGGGCCTCCAAGGTGGCAGCCAGGGGTGGGCTGCCAAGAAGCCTGTGGCTCGGACATGTGGACAGGGTCTTGGCCAGGCCACCTGACTGGCAGGCAGTGCCCAACATTCCTGCAGTAGGAGGGCCTGAACCCCATCTTTCCACCTATGCTGTGGTTAACGCCAACTGACCAGGCCTCCAGGACGCTGCCGCTGGGAAAGCAGAACTCGGAGGACATGCCCAGAAGACCCCAAGGGTAGAGGAAGGTCCCTGGCACCCAGCAGAGCCTGCCAAAGCTGGCCCAAGGGCTCTGGGCAGGAAAGCCCCAAACACGAGGGATTCTTCCCGGGGTGACCTTCACAGCTGCTATGCGGTGCGTCCCCCTGAGAGCCGGAGGCGCTACAGGAGGAGCAGAGGAAGCATGGCGGCCTGAGCGCTGCTTACACCTCACGCCCGCCCGCCGGGGCGGGCCCGGGAGACTCCTCTCCCCAGCCCCGGCCTCCGCACACCAGCCTCTGTGTGCAGTTCCCACGGCACAGCTGCCCAGGCAGTGCCAAAGACGCGAGGCGAGCCTGCACCCTCCACTGACCCTGCAGGAAGGAACTGTCACCCAACGTGACTCAACACATGGTCGTGGCCCCGCGAGGCTGTGGGCCTTCTCTGAGCCGTGACGGCTGCAGCGAGGTCCAGCTGCCGTCTCTGCCTGCCCTCGGGGTGGTAAGGGCACCTGGCCCTCACCACTGCCATCTGTGAGCTCAGAGAGCCCCTGCCCCACCAGAGGGACGGGTCTCCACTGCTCCCTGGAGCGCAGGGCCCCGTGGGTGAGACCTCATGTTAACACGCACTGCCCTGGAAAACCGCACACCTTAAAGGACCCCTCTGTCTGTTCCAGGGGACAGTGTCCTCAGCCAGACTCAGGGCCCTTAGTCCCCAACATGGCACCGGGCTCGACGCCTGTCATCCCTAAGAAGAGGTTTCCGTCCACCTGCTGGGAATCACTCCAAGGAGCCCCTCGCATCCCGCATGGCACAGCATCGCCCCGCCCCGCGTCTCCACGGAGCCTGTCCGGCGCCTGCGGCTCACCGTTGGGCGAGCACGGCCTAGGTTCAACCCCTGTGGCCTGTGGCATGGACCCCAGCCGGGCATGTAATGGCAAGCTGTGCCCAGCTCACTCTTGGGTGCCCAGCCAGCAGCGCCCGGGCACAGTCCTCCCTCACCACTCACAGGTGGGCCCCTGGGACAGATGCCCCTGAACCAGGCAGCAACCCAGGAGGTGTGAGACCACCCTCTGCACCACGCTCATTACCACGTCGTCCAGCGAGAACTGGGAGCCCTGGGCGAAGATGCCCCCGTTCATGGCGATCAGGGCACAGCCGTCGTAGTACAGCCGGTCCCCATCGCAGCCCTTCTGGTTGGCCAACAGGTAGATCCCGCCGTTCTGGAGAGGCAGAGGGGAACGGTCAGCGGTGGTCATCGCCCTCACCTCCGCAGGCCCCACAGGGAGACCTGGCCGTGCCAGACTCTCCCTGTCCCACCCATGTCAGCCAGAGCTCCTCCCCACACAGCGCCTATGGCAGGACGGCCCAGTGGCCGGGGTCCTGGTGGACCCCCCAGCCCCGGGCTGCGGGCAGCAAGGCTTCCACTCCCCACAGCGAGGTGCACAGACTCCAGTGCTCGGCCTGGCAGAGGCCAAGTTCAAGCCCACGGCAAGAAACCTGTCGCAGGAGTGACAGGTGCCTCTGTCCCTTGCTGTGCTCAGGTGCCCACTACAGTGGCCGACACGGGGACGCTCCCTTGTGTATTCCCTGAAACCAAGGCTCCCACCCACCAGAGGTGTCGGCAGAGCCTGATTCCCAGGGGACCATGAGGGCTAAGGCCACTCAAGGGAGCCTGGACGACGGCAGCCTGTGCTCCCGGAGTACAGGCCGTCATCATGGCCCCAAATTCCCACTCTGCCTGCCGGGCCCTGCCCCAGGTGCCAAGGCTCCAGAAGGCTCTGGGCTAGGGCTGGCCTTGGCAGTCCACCAGCAGCCCCTCCCAAGCCTACCTTGGTGGTGGCCATGGTCACCAGGTCCACCCTGGCGTGGGCTTTGCGCAGGACATGGTGGCTGCCCGAGGCGTTGGTGATGATCTCCACGCCGTCCAGGCCCATGTCCACGTGTGGGCTGTGGCGGAAGCACAGAAGGCCAGCTGGGCTCCTTCAACTGCCCCTGGCAGCCCCTCCAGTTGCCCCTCCGTGACTCCGCACCCTGCAGCTGTGACCCCAGGTTCTCCTGCTGGTCCACGTGAGGTCATGGACTGGACAGCAGAGGACCCAGCTGACCTGTGTGGTGTCCAGAGCTCCTCGCAGATCTCGCTCCCAATGCAGGTGTCCTGGGTGGCCAGTACCGCGTCTCCAAACGGCACCGTCTCCTGCAGGTGGAGAGGGCAGACTCAGCGGTCCTCCTGTCTGGGCTGCGTACTGACCCCAGCACTACATGTCCCAGGAGACCTCTGCGAGGGCCACCACGCTGAGCCCAGCCCACCCTGGTCATCCTCAGGCCGAGGTCTGCTGGCCCAGGGCTCCTCCTCCGCCGATCCCTAAGGGTCTCGAGTCACCCCAGGCACAGCCACAGCCATGGTCAGGGGCAGGGCACTGCTGACTCACAGCCCTGAGCTCCGCCTCCACCCTCTGGACACTGTCACCAGCCAGTCTTTTCATCCCCTTCTCAAGGGGACTGCCCTGACCCCCTCCTGTCTCTGTCCTGGCTCCTCGGCCACCACCTCTCGCCCAGGCCCAAAGCCACCAGGCCCAGCCACCAGGAGGAGCCTCTGGAGCCGAGCACAGAACAGATTCTCCTTCACGCCGGTCGCCTCAGGTGGGTGTCCAGCGGGGAAGCTGGCCGAGGACTGCCTCTGCCCTGTGACCACAGCAGCTCACCCGCCCCTCCTCATCCAAGAGATGCAGCAGCAAGGGGACCCCAGAGCCCCTCCCCTGGGGCCGCAGGGGTGAGTGTGCAGAGGCCAGGCCCTGCCTCGAGGAGGGAAGGAGAGCAGTGGTGGGGGTGGGGGTGGTATGGGGAGAAGCGACTCCCAAGACCCCACCGCGCTCGGCACCCAAGTCCCTCCTCGGTTTGCCTCTAAGGCCAGCCACGGAGCCTCCTGTGACTCTGTCCGTGAGCTCCTGCCCCACGTAGCCCGCCGTCAGCCGGCAGAGGTGAGTGTGGCTAGAAGGCGAGTGTCCAGGGCAGGACTCACCTGCTGAGTCAGGTCCTGCAGCATCCGAGGGAGGAAGTACTCCTCTGTGTGCCTGGAAGGGAACACTGCAGCTCTGAGGCTGGAAGGGACACGGACGGCCCCCCGCCCGGGCGGAGCACAGGCTCCCAGCCCAGGTGTCCCAGGTGTCCCAGGTGTCCCCAGAGCCCGGCAGCCCTCCACAGCACTGTGACTCCTGTCTAAGGTAAACAGGACAGCAAGGAGCAAAGTGGACGGCCACCTAGGCGCTCCTCCAGGGCAGCGGCTGTGCCTGTGGGCCTGAGCTCGGCAGCTCCATCCTGGGCACGTGGCTCTCTAGAGCAGCATTTCCAGCCACAGCCCATGACGGGAAGCTCCCGTGCCGTTAACCCGCACGCTGACCACGCCGTCAGCTCCCGTGCCGTTAAACCTGCATGCTGACCCATGCCTTTGGTGAGATGGTCAGGATGGGCAGTGGCCAGAGCAGTGGGCCGGGAGGCCCAGAAGGGCACCAAAGGTGGTGGTGGACACACAGTTTACACCCTAGCTTCAGGTGGGCTCACGAGGTGCACCAGACAGACGTGCCACCCCATAACGAGCACTCCTGCCCCACCTGCAGGTCCCGTGACTGCACCAAAAGTCACCTCCCTTCCTTCTTGGTCCAAGCAGACACCCAGTGAGAACCTGGTCAGGAAGTGGACCTGCCCAGGGCCCTCCCCGCCCCCGCCCAGGGCCAGCTCGGTGGCCCCCTTTGCAGGTGGCTCCAGGCTTCCCGCCCTGCTTTAGGGGGCTGGGACATCACAGTCAAAAGTCACTGGTGATGCTGCCTCGGCTGGCCCGACGGCTCTGCTGGGGACGCGCTCCCTGCTGGGTGTGCTATGGCACCCTCCGCTTGTCCTCCCAGAGGGCCTCCTGCGGAAGCCTTGGAGGGCACCTGAGCCAAGAAACCACTCCGGCCATGCTCCGGTGAGCGTCCATGGCCCCGGGAGCCACGGGGCTCCTACGGTGCTGCAGTCATGGGACGCTGAGGCTGGGAGTCCATCCCGGAGCATCAAGACGAGCCGCTGCTGAGCCCTCAGCAGGCGGGAGCAGGGCCTGGTGATTTCCCCGTGAGGCTCTGCTGTGGCACCTTGAACCTGATGTGCTCGGTGCTGAAGCAGCTGCGATGACCTGGCCGTTTCGCTGTCACCACCTGGCTGTTCGCAGAAGGCAAACCTCCTGCCTTTTCTAACTGCACCAAGATGCAAGCTCTGGCTGCTCCAGCTCAGTGTCCCGGCCACCCCTGCCACAGGCAGAGCGAGATGGGCCCGACTCTGGAGGGTGCCACGGGACAGCAGAGCACTCATGTGACAGAAGAGGAAAGGGAATGAGCTGTGCCTGCTCCAAGGACAGGTGGGTCCCAACAGCAGCCTCAGGACAGCGGGCAAAAGTCGGCCTGCAGATGGAGCCAGGCCAAAGAGTAGGAGAGGTGCCAGGGAACCCGCCGCACAGGAGAGCGTTAGGGATAAACAGCAGGAAGACCAACGGATGAAGAGACAGCAGGTCAGAGAGGGGAGAGACAGGGAGGCAGGCGGGGCGTGATGTGCTCAGGACTGAGGTCCCCGAGGAAGAGGACAAAAGCAAAAGAACAAGACCCTGGAGAGCAGAAACCAAGCAGACCTCCCTGAAGTGACAGCATGGAGCCAGACACTCAGTCCCCATCGCAAAGGAGAGCCGTCCCTGGACCTCAAGGACTGTGTCACCGCAGGACTCCTAGCAAACCGCCGGCCCCCACAATAGCAAACCCGGCTGGCCAGAGCCTCCCTCTAGCATTCCTTACGCAGAAGGGCCAGCGCGTGGGGGCCTGGAGGTGGGCCCTCAGAGAAGCCCAATGCACACGCCCAGGGGAGCAGGTGCCCTGACGGAGCCCAGGTGTGTGCCCTGGCACTGACCCACGGGTCCACCGGGGCCCTGGCTTGCTCTGGAACTTGGCCTTGGCAGAGCTGCCCCGCACACTCTGTGAGGGAGATCCTCCTGAGGCCACCCGGTACACTGAGCGCAAGGTGGATGGCCAGTGGCCACGGGAGCCGCTCACATGAGGTCAAGAAGCCAGTGACCACCCACGCGAGACCCCTCTCCAGCACCAGCAAGCCAAAGGGCAGTCCTGGAGCAAGTCACAATCATGAAGAGAAGTTCTTTTTAACCTAGAGCTCTTTCCCAGGACCTGCCCCAGCAGTGACAGGGACACTGTTCTAGAAATGTGGCCCCCGGATGTCGGTGTGAGTGTGGAAAGGAGGGGCATCGGCAGCCCCTGACCGGGAGACCAGGGTGACGAACAGCCGAGACGCACAGAACCCAGTAGGGCGTCGGCAGCAAGGCACACTCGAAAGTCACACGCCTCTTACGCAAGATCACCAGCCACCGGAAACGCCACGTCAGCGCCTCCGCCCACTGCGGAACACGGGGACCCCGTAACGAGGAGAGGGACGGGGCTCCTCGAGGGGCGCGCTCACCCTCAGGGTCTGCAGGTCTGGGGCGCTCTGGCTGCCTCAGAGGTGGACAGCCACCGTCAGAGCACCAGATGGCCCTTCCCGGGAGGGAGAAGGATCATTCAGGATGTCAGTGGGCTGACCGAAGACCTGACGCTGCCCACTCAAGGCGCAGTGTCACCTGATGTGACTGCTCACCACTGACCCCAGCAGCCTGGCTGCGCTGTGATCAGCAGACTGAAAGGCCACGCCGAGGTGACGGGCAGCCAGCTCCCGTGTCCATGACCTGGACCAGGACCACGGAGGCGAAGACCTTCATTCACATCCAACCAGCGGCCACCGAACTCACCGGCTCCTGGACCACGGGGTGAACCAGCGCAGCTCCCGGTAGTTGGCCTCGTTGGCCAGGGCCATCTTGGGTCTGATGAGCAGGAT